ATTCACAGAGGAAAAGAGATTAAGAAATGTTTCACAAAGGAACTATATTTTAAGATATAATTTAAAAGTTAGTGGAATTTCAGAGAGTGAAATTTGGGAAAAAAGATGTTTGTGTCAAGAGAATGGCATGGACTATTGGAAAAACATGATATTTGCTGAAGGCAAAAGTTCTAGTTTGGCTGAAAAAAAGTGGTTAAGGGGAGATATCAGACTATTCATGCCCTCAATACAGTATAAGCTTCAGGAGACATTTCCTAGGGTGTCCCAGCACCATCTGCATATGGTTGGGACTTAAAAGTTATTAAGGGTTGAGGAGAAGAAAGAATGCTTCAACAAAACCTTGGGGCCCGATCAGAGTAGACTTTCAGGCTATGGGAAGGAGCTTGGACTTTGTTCAGTGGGTGACAGGGAGTCATTGACAGTTTTGGGGTTCGAAAGTGAAATGGTCAGAGTGGTGCTTTAGGAAAATCGATTTGGAGGCCACATGAAAGATGGGCTAGCGGTCCTAAAATAAGAAAGAGAACAGAAAACTGAAGATCATGAATGCCAGAATAAGGGCAGTGGTTGTGGGGATGTAAAAGAGGGGACCTGTAGTGTGCTGTTTACCAAGGGAAGGCTGTGAATGACGTATCTATTGCCTGATAACTCAACTGATAAAGGATGTCCTGTGAGTGGTGTTACCAAATGCTTCCAGGGAACTACAAGGGACACAAAGAGAAATGGAGGCATGCTGCACAGATCATTCCCTTTTTAAAAAGAAGCTTAAAAGTTATGCAAAAATATTAATTTCTTTGGAGAAACAGTCCAACAACCCATTTATTATCCTGCACACTAAGAATATTAAAAGGTAAAATGATTCGATGGTGGGGGACGAGGACGACAAACACATATCTTCAAAGAGAGAAGCTCACATTTCGAAATGAATTGGAATCTTACTTTCTATTTTGATCTTCGCTTGCAATTCAGCATATCACTTGATGCTGATATATAGAATTTGTTATCAGTTGTTATCCAAGGGAATTTGCCTAAACACAGATATAAAAATCAGGCTCTGATTGTGTATCTGCTCTCTTGAGTGCTAGAGTTAAGGTCTGATAAGTTTCAGTGTTAATATTCTGGTTTCAGTTTCACTTTTCACATCAGAAAAATGATAAAGTATTGCTCAGTTTTTAAATTTTTAACACTGTATATAAATAGAGTGATAACCTCTCATTTATCATTCACATGAAACACTTTTACGAGTAATGGGGGTGCTGGTAATCATCATACCAGGACAACCCGTGTAAACCGAGGCTATCCTGGGAAACCCAAAACATATGGTTTATATATACTCGCACATGACTACCTACAATGTTGTATCATTTTAAATATATACAACTTTCGGATCATTCAAAAAATTAGTATATGATATAGGATTTTTTTTAGCAATGTAGCTGATACTTATACGAGACTAAAGGTGACTTTAGATGTGGCATTTCTGATACGTTACGAACAATTATGAAGAAAATGTCGTTAGAATGATCTCAGTCAAAACAATACGAACAGGCGAGAAAATACTAAAATATATAACCGAAGGGAAGTTGCATGCCATCTATTTTGTGCCACAAACATGTTTTCTTAAGCCGCCTTTTAGTATCCGAAGAAAACCTCCCAAGTGAAGCACTTACATGTACATGGGCTGTAGCTGCAAGTGAGACGTCTTCTGAGGCCCTTGGTAGCCGTAAGAGTCAAAGCCGCCTATGAAGTCAACTGAAAGGGACAATTGCCTTCATGAATTAACTCTTCAGAAGAGGTCAACATTCACGATCAAGGTCTCACAGATTCGTCATATAAACCTTTTAATAATCTAGTAAAATGAAAGTGATTCATTGTGGAGGGAAAAAAGATAGTTTCCTCAAGGTAGTGATTTCCCCTCCTCACCTGTGATATTCAATTATTGCTTTACAACAAGCTATTCACTTGGAAGAAGAACTTCTGTACTCCTCCCAAACTAACAAGATCTAATTGTTGTTAACAAAGTTCACTTGCATAATAAACATGCTGTATGTGCCCTAGTCAGGTAGCTAAGTTGGTTAGAAAATTGTCCTGATACACTAAGGTTGTGGGTTCAATCTCTGGTCATGGTACATACAAGAAGCAACCGATAAATGCATAAATATGCGGAAAAACAAATCTCTCTCTCCTCTCCTCTCTCTCTCTCTCTAAAATCAATAAAAAGTTTTAAAGATGCTATATGTCTTTTTTGTTAGTTTGTAATGTGCAGAAGCAACACATTACACATGTAAAAAATAATGATAGCTAGTGCATATATCTATCAGCAATTACATCACTAGGAATAATACTGTATACTGTGATTGTGAAGTTCAAGGTGCTAGGTTGGAGCTCATGAAAATTAACACGTCTGTCCCTGCCATCATGTGGCTTATAACCTGAAATAGACAACACAAATAAAGATGTGGAGCAAACCAAACATTCAAATGCAATACATACCTAGATATTTAAAGTACAATAAAATATAGCAAGAGTTATTGGGGTAGATTATCTTTTCCCAAATGCCAAAAACAATACCTCTTATTCCATATGTGCTTATAATATGATTGACACACCTCCCATCCAGTGGTTTCAGTCTATGTCCCTTCCTCTTGACCCTGGGTAGAACTTTGTGGCTGCTTTGACCAATAGAGTACACTACGAGGGACACTATGTGACTCCCAAGCTAGATCATTAGAATGCCATACTCCCCTCTTGCTTTTTTGGGATGCTCTCTCTTGGAACACAATCATCTGCCCAAACTAGGAAACCCCAACTAGCCCACATGGAGAGACCAATGGAGAACCCATGGATATGTATCTTGGCCGAGAGGCTGGCTGAGGCCCCAGCAGCCAGCCAGCATCAACACCCAGGCGTGAGAAAAGATGCCTCCAAATGATTCGGGCCCCCAGCTGTTGAGTCAGCCCAGTCTCGGAGTCTTCCCAGCTGAAGTCCCTCCCATTATGAACCAGAGAAAAGCCATCCTGTGTTCCCTGTCTGAATTCTGCACCCATGGGATCCGTGAGCGTAATAAATGGTTGTTTTACACACTACATCTGGCAGCAATGGTAACTGGAACAGTAAATACTGTGAGTACTGTGAAAAAGTTTGCTTCTGTTTTCTCTCTTCCCCTCCTGGACACAGAAGCTGCGTGGTGGGAATAAAAGACAGAAACAACAGAAAGGGTGACAAGATAGATGACGGGGAGGAAAAAGAAGGGGAGATCCAGGCTGACTTAGGTGGCCCGGGACAGCCATACTTTTCCTAGTATCTAATTCTGTTGGCTTGGTTGAACTAACTCTGGTTCTCTTTATAACATCGTAAGTGTCACAGATAGAAATTGGAGCAAGGTGTGAAGCAACTTAAAGTCCATGGTGTCTATTTGTCTGTTTAGTGGGGACACCTTTTTTACAAAATACATTTTATTTTTTAGAGCAGTTTTAGGTCTACAGCAAAATTGAGCAGAAAGTACAGAGTTCATCTATGCCTCCTGTCTCCATGCACATACAGTCTTTTCCTACCGACATGGCCCAGAGCGGTGCATCTGAGGCCATCGATGATGAGTGCAGCCGACTTGGAACCTCGCTCCTTCTGCAGAATGATGCTTCTGTCAGGTCTGGAAGTCTTCGGGGTGCATGTGGGTGGCGAACAGAAGTAGAATAAACTTACTTTCTTTCTCAGAATACTGAATTACTGGGACTAGTTTACATTTTTAGAACACCCTTAACACCATTTTGGTCTGTTTTCAGTTTCTTTCATATAATCAATTTATTCAGGCTCTAAAGAGGCTACTGCATACTGTTAACTTTTTTTCTGAGCAATAGGAGTCACAAAACACCAGGCAGGTCCTTCTCCAAGTAATTGTGATGGCATCTAGATGTTTGCCTTTGAGCACAACTCTGCATTATTTAGGGGGGGGAAAGTACCTTTTATTAATCAGGAATTTCCTTAATTCCTAAAAATAAAAATGTCCCAATAACTGCAAAATACTTAATAACTCCTGAAGCCCTTTTGGGAATATCAGTTATATTTGCAATACTACTGTGACATGGGTAGGAATAATTACCTTCAGTTTACAGATAAATATAGATTTATTTGACTGCTTGGGGCCACACACTAACTGAAGAAATGATGTTTGTTTTTTACTCATCCCATTCCAAAAACATTCCTGGAAGGTTACCAAAGGTTCTGCGTCACATTTGGTATTAGACCTAAAACCTTTAGGCTTTCCTTTCCCATGTTCATTTCAGGAAACTTCCCGAGTTCTTCCTTTGGTCCTCTATTGGTCGTAGACGTCTCCCTTTGTTATTTTGTCTCCAGCATCTTTTCTCTGTTCTTTCTAGAAAACGTATCCTTCATCTTCTTCCGAACTCCAGCCTAATATGCTCAGAATATTCGGATGTGAACAATAAACAAAGCAGAAGCCCCCGGTGCTGGCTGCCGTGACAGCGACAGATACGCTCTGATTTCTGTGATGTCTCTTCAAGGGGTGACAGGGCGAGCATCTTTCAAGGCTTAGTTCATTTCCTCTGTGCCTGACAGCTTGGGCAGACATCATATAAGCCTTACGCGGTCCTTCCTCCCAGAAATTATTTACATTCTCAGCCCCGTCTCGTGCACCTCTGATTGCAGCATGTCTTTCAAGGTACGGAGAGATGCTCTTCTTCCAGCCACTTGGCGTATTGTCTCTGCTATTGCGATGCTTATCAGAAAGCGAGAGAGACGAGGAATTATTAAAGGCCCGAATTAGAATTAGGAGAATTAGAAAGAAAATACGACAATGGGTACGAGATAAATGGAGAAAGAGGTAGAAAACATAGGGACATGCCAACGTTTTTCATATGAGGGAAAGGAAGAAAAAGGCAAGATTCAAAGTTGACTCTTAGGAGTTGGTCGGCTAGAAGAATGGTGCAGCCTTTCCCAGAACAAAGAAGAGGGTCAGGAATAAGTTGGTGTTTGGCTTCATTTGGAAACATAGTATTTAATTTATAAGTGGCACATATAAATGGCAAGGTCCAGAAAACACTTGGAAAAAGGGAAATGTAACTGTAATCGGTGCACAACAAATTGGGGACTTGCTGTTATTTTTTAAAAAGTTTTCAATTACAGTTGACAGTCAATATTATGTTAGTTTCAGGTGATTTCTTCCTACCCCCCATAAATCATGAATTTCTCTCCCTCACTCAGCTTTATTTTGCTTCATTGCAATTGCAACATATCTTCACCTGGCATGTTGTAAATCTACTTGTTTATTTGTTGATTCCACCACTACAATGTAACTGCATGAGATGGACAGTTTACTACTGTTTTCTACAGCCCCAGAACCCAGAACATAGTCTGGCTCATGGAAGACTCCCAATATGTATTTACTGAATGAACTGTAAAAAAAAAAAAAATAATTGGTTAGAGTATGGAAGATGCAGATAACATTTCCAGTGGGATTTGACTGAATACTTTTACCCTTTCCTCCATATTGTTTCCTCCTTGAACAATAATAAAGAGAAGACCTTTTATTGGAAGATCTAGAATGTGAGTTGTTGCCTGGGTCCTGTGAGATTAAACAAATTTTTTGGATACCAACAGGGAGAAGAGTAGAAGGAAAAAGGTGAGGATATCCTTTAGCATCAAAATGACTAGGGTGAGAAGATTATTTATTAATGAATGCTGTCAAGTGTTGCAAATACTGAGAATTGGTAGAAAAAACACTGCTCTCTTTCTGGTCAGTTTAATAGCATCCTAAACAGAGGTATACAACTGGGTAGAAGGTGAGAAAATAAAACTTTTACTTCCTTATTCTTTGCCTCATTGGAGGAATCTGCTTTGGGTCCTATGAAGACAACTCAGGACAGTTGTAATTTTCTTTGCAATTGCTACAGAGTTTTCGTTTTGCCTTAGTTTTCCTATCTGCAATATGGGTATGTTTACATCTGATCCATGGAGGCACAGGGAGGTCCAATTATTTTTTATTAGCAAAGTCCCATATCAGTTTAATAACTATGATTTAATAGCATTAACAACAATAGAATTTACAAACTACCAGGTAGGAGAAAAATGCTTTTTGAATAAATATTCTTTGCTAAAATATATTCCCTGTTGTGAGCTTTCCTTTTATTTAAATCTTTTAATCGTGAACATTGAGTTCAGCAAACTTAAAACGGCCTTTTTAAATACCTGTTGGCAGTGGGGTGTTGTAACATAAAATTGAGCCTTGATTATTAATGACAAAGCCACTAGTCAACATTCTCTCTTTTGGACACAAAGGTGGAAACGACCATGAAGGGAAATTTTAAAAGGCAGTTCACAGAAAGCTAAGCCTAAATATTTATGAGAACACATAGAAAGACATAAAAGAATTTGTGTGGGCCTATGAAAATAGAGTGCACAGCCATTATCTCTGCAGGTAGGATTTCAAGGGTACTTCTCTCCAGTCTACAAAAGGAATTTAGGCCATAACCAGCCATAGGCCCCGAAGAACCTCCTTCCTCCCACTTGGTGGCGCCAACTCAGCTTACTGTGTGAGCCTGAGGTGCTGGGCCTGGGCTAACATCCCTGAGTGGAATCTGAGCATTTTTTTTCTGATTAGGAAAACAGCACCCTAACAACAGGGTGCTTTATCCTGTTGTTGCCTGAGAGGCCACCGAAGTGTGATGCTATAGAGCGCTTCTGGTAGGCGAAGCCACAGTGAATGAAGTGAGACTTATTACCTACATCACTACCGA